TTTATTTGTCATAGTTAGATGTCCCTGGCATTTCCTATGACTCGGTTAAAATATACAACAGTGTCACTACAATGGATTCAAGACTTATGAAAATTAAATCTAGCTGGAGAGCAGAAAGAAGGCTGCATGCAGTGTCCCACCCTCAATTCTGGCCCTGTGAGAAGATAAGGATTCAGCATGTAAATTTTCTATAATAGACCTTTCCATCTCAAGGAATGAATGCTAATCTCTTGTGGCTTACTAATTTTTCCAAAGTTAATAATCAACTTTGCATGCCTGATGCCTAGAATTCTACTGTCACATTCTGAGTGTTTGAAAACATTGAGGTTATTAGGAAAGACATGTATGGGTGTGGCTTCATGTTGTAAGGAAACATGACTCACGAGATTACATCTTCCTCTCAGGCTCTCTCTCTCCCCTGAAGAATCTCCACTGGTAGGCTGAAGATTTGATTCTGAGAGCAGGAGCAACGTGAAGCCAATATCATAAGGAAATGGCAAATACCTATGCTCATGCAAAAAAAAAGTAAGAGACTTGTTTGCCCCTTGTTATTCCAACCAGGTCATATTGGTTGTTGTCAAGCACATACAAAGTGAGTCATTTGCAATGTGCTATAAATCAGTAATTCACGGCAAAGTGTAGAGCATTAAAAATGGACTGGGACATTCATACTATCATGAGACACACCACAATAATCATTACAAAATATTAGTCTTTATTTTGCTAAAAATTCCCTTCAAAGATATTCTTCATATAGTAATAATTTTCTGATTCTCTTAAATCTTTGCAGGAGATAAAGAAACATTTTACCAGTAAAGCTCTATAACCACTAGAATCACTTCCTCAGAAAGAAAAGATTTGCAAAATTATCTGTACATTAGACACAATCATTCCAAGATTCTGTGGCCTGTCCTACTCAAGAGTACTATGTCACCCTCATGGATCTAAAGCAGTAATTCACATCATGAAAAATCAAATATGCTCAAATTTTATTTTAAGTGGAATAATTAATCACAAAATACACAATATACTTTGCCTATTTTTCCTGGGCATTTTCATCTCCCCCATTCTACTTGAGTGAAGGCCCCAGGAACTGAATCTAGTGATTTTCATGCTCTAGTCACCTTATTGAACTATTTCTGTTTGCTCACACAAATATGCATGTAGTCTGTACTCTAATAAAGTCCTAGATACCTTAGAAACTCCTCTGCCTTTAAAGAGATGAAACTCCTGAAAATACAAATCCTTCTGATGATAAATCACACCACTAAGTTGAAATTCCAAAACTTAAGCTGTGTTACAGGGATGAAATTAAAAGATATATTACAGAAACACTTGTAGTGTCTAATTATAAACTTAATGCTAACCTCTCAGCTCAGTTTCAGCTAATTTAAAATTTCCTTTATATCCTCTTGTCTGGGGGATATAGGTCAAGCAGTATGACCATATTGGCCTCATCAGTACAACAATAATCAAAAAATCCAGAGAAACATAGACATAAAATACCCAAAGTAGTGTACACATTTCCAAACAGGATTGCACTGCTCTCCTGATAGAGCTGCTCAAGAGAAACAGGTAAATACAGCTATCTAAACTGGAAACAACTGGGTAAGTGAGGCTCCTGTTCTACAGGAGACAATTTGAAGACTGGAAGGAATAATGCAAAAGAGATAATTGAGTTTCATAAGGAAAATGACTTGATCAAACTAAAACAAAGGGACAACAAAATGAATTGAATATGCACAAAAAACAAATCTGTTATTGCAAGCACTACCATTAAGCATTAGATATTTTTCAAGCTGCTGAATACAAATACTTTGATGTGTATTTCAGATATAACAGAAAGAGAAATTCATAATACAACACTACACATCACATGTACTTCACTGAATGCAGCACACTGTGAATCACTGTTTGTTCACACATGGTGTCCTTTTCAGAGACAAGGGACTCATCTCTGTATCCTCCAACATGAGCATATAAACTTCACATTGAGCCATGTATCACTAGTACAAACTATGTGTCAACTTAAAAATTCAATATAAGTTTATACTCAAACATTTTCTCTTCATTATCCAAGGGCCTCATGGACTTTAGAAAAGTTAATTTGAGATGGACATGAACTTTCAATATGCATCTCATATTGAAAAAGTTCAGTTATCCATGGTGGCCTTGATTTTTAAGCGCTGCTAACTTTCCCAGGAGGCTGGCATTCAATTGGTGCATCACCATGACTCAGTGTTGTTTATTTTACCCCAGCAGTGAATTCTTGGTGAAATTGGGTAACATGAAAATAAAACACCGATCCAGGTATGGCAGTGCATGCCTGAGTCCCTAGCATTACAATGGATGATGTATGAGACTCTGAGCATTAAGTGTGAACTAAAGAAGCAGACCAAATCCCTCCAGCAAAGCAGAGGCACAATCATCATCATCAAAGTAGAATACTTCTGTCATCCCCTCACTGGCAGTTGAGCTAGTTAGAAATATTACATCCATCAGAAATCCCTAGGCTCTTGAAGGGACCCCCACAGAGGACCAGATATCTGGTGACTTTGTAAGAGACAAACACCACATGCTGTGGACCAGATCTCAAGATAGATGACAAAGAAATACAACCACACCCTTAAGTATAATCCTTAGGGATTAGGTATGGATCACCTTGAGAAGATTGGAGTTGCAATTCTAACCAACTACAGAAAAAGTGACTGATCCATAAAGAATGCTAGCTTGCTATGTGATTCAATTCCCCATTTGTCTCTGATTTAGTCAATTTTACCTGAGGAAGTAAACTGATTGTTTGACCATAGCTCTTTCCCACCTCATGCCTGCTTGTCTTGTGGGTTATTGATCTGTTTTTAGACTTGCCTCATCTCACTGTTTTACATTATAAAAATTCCTAGAAAATGCAGAGTGTTTGGCATTCCACATGGGACCCCTTCTGTCTCTCTCACAGAAGCATTCTTTCACTCAATTAATAGTTCTTCTCTTAACCTTGGTTGTACCTAAAATTCATTCTTAAATTTAAAAGAACATGAATTTCTGCTGGACATATAGAGGGTTGACAGTTTCATTCCCGTTTATCAAACTCAGCAGTCAAAGTGCTGGCAAAGACTCAACAATTCTTGCAACCATGTGCAAAGTAGTAAGACCGCATCTCTAAATGCCAAAAAAAAAAAAAAATAATTATTATTAATTAAATATTTTTCAAAATTTGGAGGATGTTAATAAGGGCCAGATTTCTAAGGTCCGTCACTGGACAATAAGAAGCAACAAATATATCTTGAAATCTTTGGTGTCCAAAATAAACTCCTTCCCATGTTATTTTAGTTGTGATGACCAACATATTTCCAAACCTTCAATACTAGGGTTCTAAATACCTATCTTACCTCAGAGATGATTAGGAGAGCTGATCAGTAGACAGAGAAAAATATTTTATCAATGACTAAGTTTCCCTCCTTTCTATAGACCTGCGAGCTTTTTCCTACTCTCAGACCTACCAAGCAGACAATCCTCCAGTGCTGTCACAGTAGGTCAAGCTAACCTCAGAAGTCCTTTACTATGCTGCCTGCTGATTGGGCCTCCCTCCCTATTCCCCTGCTCTCTCTTTTCCTTTCCATCATGTTGGCACATGTTATTAAAACTTTTGTCCTTAATTCTTTAATGCTCATGAATATCCTGACCATGTGAAGATACCTCTACTTCAGTAAAACAGTCCATCTCATTGTTCAAATTTCCTTTTGAGACAAGGATGCATGATGTAATTCAGGATGCCATGTCCTGGAACTCACTTCATGCCCCAGGCTTGTCTTAAACTTGCAAGGATTCTCCTGTATCAGCCTTCTGAGTCCTAGGATTAAAGCCATGTGCCACCACACCCCACTCGGTGCTTCAAATTTCAGGTCAAATTAAAACCAACCCAAATGTAACAAATTTTTGAAGTTTTGAAACATACTTCCATTTCCAATCTCATATTTATCAGATCTCTACATCCCTGTAGACACCAGTTTGCTGTTTTTCTCAGTGTGGGATTAGCAGGCAGCACCTACAAGAAGTTGTTCTCAGCAAGAAATTTCCACTCAGGAACTAATGCATCACCATCCCCCAAATACCTCACAACATTCTAAACTTTAAGAAAACCCTTGCTTCAGTAGTTCAATTGTAAAAAAGTATTTATCTACTGCTTATAAATAAGGCACTCGCTAAGGACATGGCCTGAGATAAAGTTGCAAAAGTAGTGGCTGGGATAAGAATTAAAATCAGAATAGATCATGACCTAGGACTTTGAACTTCACAATAAATTGCAGATTCTAGTCTACCAGAGTGACTTGCAGGTGCTAATTACTAAACTCCTGAGGTAACAGAAATGTAAACACAAAGATCCAGTTTATCTCTAAAACCTGTTTCCTATAGACCCCACAAGTTGAAGAAAAGCGTTGGAGAACCACAGCTTAAAGTATTTCTTTTTCTGGGTGCAGTGACTCAGGACTGTAATCTCCTCACACTGGAGACAGATGCAGGAGGATGGCCTGGAGATCATGGGTTGGTCAGACTACAGTGATATACTCTGTATCCAAACAATAAATAATAAAACATAAAAGAAAAAAGAAAAGGAAACAAAGTTGGAGATCTATTTTAAATCCATAGAGCCAGGTGTACCCTCACGGCTATCTATCCATGTATGAAACATTCCTGAAGTCAAGGAGCTTTCTTATTTTTATTTTGGTTTCAGAACTCATAACACACAGTGTCATGGGATTATGAGTTCGTTTCATGCCATAACATCACTGCGAGTAGAAGTCTCACATAAGGAATTCAAATGATAGTGTTTTCTAATTTTGAGGCCAGAATTCAGGTTTGCCTCCAAAGCACTGCACTCCTAAACACAGCTGTGCCTGAGGCTGTGCAAAAGACACTCTGGGTGTACAGCAGTTCTGCCCAATACCACCCAGATCTGCCAAGATTCCATCCCACTCCCAACTCCAATACCATCAAATTACCATCTCTACGCTTGAGGATTTCCAAGGATCCTACCCAGTCTTCAGTAAGAAGTCACAGAAACTTGACATGAACTCAGCTCCAGGCACTCAGCACTGAACTCACAGTGAGAACTTCTACAAGAGCGATGGGAAGAGCCCTCCTCCCTTGGCCCACTTCATTGACCCTCCTCCCTTGGCCCACCTTTATCAATGATTGCCTCCTGGACCCACCTCTTTTCTGTGCTGTCACACTCACCTGCCAGTACTTTACTTTATCTTGGCTTTTAAGTGATGTCCTGCGTTTCCTTAAAGGTATAGTGCCTTCTCCTGAAGCTCTGTCCCAAATGTGACCAGATGAATGTCCTGTGGAAGAAACAATCCATTGAGGACAGAAAAATTTATTTGGTGAACTCAGACTGGGACAAATTGGAATAGGTCGGGGCTGCTCTGAGGAATGTGTCCATAAGTTTTATTGCCCAGATGTTCATAGGGTCTCTCTCAGTCTGCTCATTTGCATTAAACTAATTTTTAGACATCTACCAAGAGAACTCCATTACAGCAGTAATGAAGAAACTACACATAAACTGTAACAGATTTCTGAGAAAAAGTAAAGATAAAGGAAAATCAAACAGTCCAACTACTTCAGAAAAGGTTTGCACTGTATGCAGTGTCATAAATCATACCTAAGTTTTGAAGAGAATCCTAGCCAAGCATAAGGTTCACTATTAATGCTGAAAGAGAGTACCGCACTTGACTCACTACATTACTTCCTGGTATTGAGTGTAAGATAAAAAAAAAAAAAAGAAAAAAACACTTTAGACTGTGCTATGGATTAAGAATTGGTGGTCAGTTTAACACCAGCTGCATTACATCAGCATGGCATTTAGTGAAGATGCTCCACCTGAGGAAAGTTGCCGGGATAAATAGGTGAAGAAAAACGGAGGTGCTAAGGCATTAAGGCATAATTGCATTGAGGTATATTGCATTCCTCTATGAGTTGCTGTTTGAGCTGTTGTTTCTGCTGGAGAAGCTTTGGTCAGCACATCAAGCATTGCTTCCAGGCTCCAGAGGGGAAGACATGTGCCATTTGGTCTCCAGGATGAAATCATCATGCTGCCTCCTGGCATGTACCAGACTGTGCTTGTTGTTGGAGGAGTCCAGGGCCTCCGTGTTGCTGAGGATGGCTGTGGTGCCTTTCAGGACAGCCCTGGTCTTTGTTGTGAGTGTGACTTCTTGGATCCAGAATAGAACTCTTATCCCACTAGCACAGCTTGTTCATTCTGCTGGCATGGACTTTCTGGTTTTCACCGCTGACTCTTGGGTCTTTCCAGCATGGATCCGTAAAAGAGACCAATGTGAGTCCTTCTTATTGGCTCTGGACCTCCAGTTGCACTCCTGGGAGGCACTGTCCTGAGTTCTGGGTTTTTATGTGGACTCATGTAGGACATTGCTTTGGGATTTAGGCCCTTGACTAAATATTCTATGTTTTTGGTGTTGCAGATAGATTTCCTGCATTTTCCTGTGTTAATTCCTGGTGACCACTACAAAAATAATATTATAAACTCCATGTCCTGATTCTTATTCTTCCAGTGTACAACCCCTAATTACAACAGACTGTAAGTGAAAACATGTTTTGCAAGTATGTATATATTTTACTCTAGAATCATTATATTTTTGCATTAACCTGTTGCCTTATTGTTGATGACTTCATATGCAAGATTGCTTTTAGCCAATCTATATATTTAAGATCTAAAATATAGAAAGTATAAAAAAAACCTAATGAAGCTGAAGTAGGCATTTGCAGGCAGGAAATGGTACCTGAGTTGGGATCATAGATCATGGCACAAGTTCTAGGGAAAAGGTTTTGTCTCTTTAATCAATGCTGCCAGAAACAAAGGCCCTCAATTATGTGGCCACTACCTTCTCACAGGTAGCTGTCTGACTGTCATTTCTCTTCCTTCTTCCAAACTAAGTGTTTTTGTTTTCCATTTCAATCTTGCTGTCTTTAAGCCCTTATTTTTATGACTGTTACCTTCCTTATTTACTATGGTGTAGTAGTAGGATGTGCACACCCACCTGTGCCTAGGTAAGATAGAAAACCATTTCTCTTCTTTTCCATGCATTCCACTTATTGAACAGCCAAAAAATCTTGTCTTTTCTTTTTTACTTTTTAGTAAAAAAAAATCTCTCCTAAGTTTCTGTTTTTGTCCACAGCTACATTCCTTGTGATTTTGTGTCCCTGAGCTCAGTTTGTACCTAATTAACAGGTTGAATAATTTTCTCCTTAATGATTACTGGTTGGCTATTCGTGATAGCCTGTCTCTCCACCTAATAACGGTGCCTCTTGAATAATATACTTTTTGAAAGTGTGCTGATGGAGATTTTATTTACTAATCATATATATAACTAGAATTATTGTAAGGGCTTTGTCAGACATAAACTGGATAAAATTCTGTTTCTAAGCATCAAGCTTCTGATGTATTTGAGGCCCTAATTCACTCCATATAAAAAAACTGAGAAACTGACACTAGCAGGTTCCATATGAAATTCCTGCATACGTCTGTGACAACCTTCACAGTGCACAGGTACTTTATTGGTCTTAATATTCAATAAATTCTTACTCACGTGTTTTGGACCCCTGAGTGTTTTTGTACTTACAAGAAGGGATGGGAACTGAACACTTACCATTCTACATTTGTGTTACTGAACTTTCTATCACTATGGTAAAATGTCTGAAAAATCCAGATATTAGAAATGGAAATTTACTCTAGGTGCATTTTATCTCATACTTTCTGAAGATCAGAGCATGTTTCAAATATGAGACAGAGCACAGGAGCTCACCTCATGTTGGCAAACTTTAGAGTAAGAAATGTTGTAGCTACATCAAAAGAGGCACTGTCCATGGGCAATATGTGTGTGTCTGTGTGTCAATGATCTTGTCTCTCTGTCTGTGTCTGTGTCTGTGTCTGTGTCTGTGTCTGTGTCTGTGTCTGTGTCTGTGACTGTTTCTGTGTCTGTGTCTGTGTCTGTGTCTGGGTCTCTGTCTCTGTCTCTGTCTCTGTCTCTGTCTCTGTCTCTGTCTCTGTCTCTGTCTCTGTCTTTGTCTGTGTGTCTGTGGGCACACAGGGATTCAACAATCCCAAATGAGTACCTGTTCTTTCTCTGCACAGCTCATGACCTGTGTCACTGTGCAGCTCAGCCCCTCAGCGCCCTAAAGCTCAGTTTTCTGTCTCCACATGATTGTTCTATCTTAGTGCACACAGATCTTACTCCTTGTGTCTCTCACACAGTGATGCTCAGCCATGCCCTCATGGTCACACAGGGAGACTGCTGCAAAACAGGCTCTTGGAGTTGTCTTTGGAGTCGAATGCATTATATTGAAATAAAGCCTGTAGTAAGCATAACATCCAGAATCAGTGTGAACAAATCATTCCAACGCTAGAAATTCCTCAGGAGTAACAAGTAGAAGGCAACATACAGTGATAACTAACATTGTTACAGGAAAATCTAAAAGAAAATTATTGACTAGAGACACACTGTACTGCTTTCTTCCATCTAAGTTGAGCACTCAAAAATGGGACACTTGACATATAATACATCCAGCTCAGAAAACACTATGTCCAGCTCCATCCTGATCCTGATATATCCTTTCTCTGTCACTAACCACTCATATTCCCCAGGAAATCACCAGGATTGGCATTTTAATTTAGTGAAGGCCCTTAGTCTGATGGCAGTGTCTCCTTGAGAAGGAAATGGCCCCTGCAGGGGGCTTACACCTGCCTTTCCTGATATTCTCCCTGTGTCCATTTTCCCTGGACAGGTGTCTCTCATCTGGGACACAAGGATAACCAAATTAAATGGTACTTTTACAGGTCCCTGTTGCTTCTTTGGCTCTGAGCCATCCTTTTCACATCCGGTATTCTCAAGGCCTTTCTTCATGGTACTGCAGTCCCTTTGATGAGGGAATTCAAAACAAGTATGTAAAGTTGTAAAGGCCTTTAAATTCCAACACAGATTTCCTACAGTCTGCACTGGGTCCTGAAGATATTTCATTCATCTATGCAGAAAATGACTCCTCTGGCCCAGGTAACTGCTGGTGTTGCCAAAAGAAAATAAGGACATCTGTGGATAAAGGAGTGCCTTATTCCTGCAGATTGTCCCTGCCAGGGCCCCCTCTAGAAGAAAGATAACTAAAGGATTTCAGTCTTTACAATCTTTTAATTGTAAATCATGCATGGGCCTAAGTACTTGAAGAGTTCCATTCTTTGAAAAGTTTCCCTTTACTGAAGTGCAGGGCAGGTCCCCTGTTAAATTCCCTTCTGCTCTCCCTATCACAGGCAGGGACCTGTATTGATCTTATGAATATATTAGTGTTTCTCCTACACATGGAAAATGGTGAAAGAGTATCACCACCTTTTTCCACTTACCCTGGTGGTGTGGTTTCTGGGTCAACAAATGGAGGCAACAGTTGCCTGATGAGAGAGTTTATCTCCATCTATGAGACTTACATTCTACAGGACACATTCTAGCCAGGAAGGACACAATGCTGCTGTGATTGTTTCCACGTTCTAAGCTTTTCTTTTTTTAATAAAAAAATTAAAAGAAAGAAGGAGATTAAAATGAAAGAGGACATAACAACATAGTAACACACATCAGAACAGAACAATTTAAGGAATATAGTGTTTCACCACAAGATAACCCAACATAAGAGTAGCTACTACAGTGTATCATTCCTTGAAATATTTTAGTATATCTTCATATATTACAGCATCAAACACAACATGACAGTGTAAAACCATTCAAGAGAATGAAAGTATTACAGGGTATTTAGAACCAACTAACAGAAAATGAATGATGGTTTCTATATTATCTCTGTGTCTATAAAAATTTTTTATACTATCACATACAATAAAATCCAAAAAGTTAAAACATGATTAACTGATGGAGACAGAGGAACAAAACCTCATGGGCTTTCAAAACAAGGTGATATTAAATCAACACTATCTATTATATTGTTTTGTTTTCCTCAAAATAACTGTTCATACCATCACAGACAATAAAGTCAAATAACCCAGTATAAAACCATCCAAATAATGAATGAAAACATTATAAGGCTTCAAAGCAATATACTGGGGAATCATGTTTACCACATTCTTTTA